AAACCCCAAACCCCAAAAATGTTTCAATCTATTTTCTTCTAAACCAGTTTCTTCAGAAAGCAGCTAGACTTTTGGTGAAAATTGCAACTCATGCTATTTCTCTCTTCTCCTCTCTTTAGTACTCACACAAAGTAGATATATCAGCTTTGACCTCAGCAACCAACATTCATCCAGGTGAAAACGGCTCTGCACAGTTCATCCTGATGCTGTCAAATGGGATATTAGAACTGAAGGTAACAAGAGGAAAGCCACCGGGTATTTCACCTCCCACGGATATTCAGAGATCCGCCTTGGGGTGGGATGAGAGCTGCCTCCCGTACAGCTCAGGGGGAGAGGGATTCAGGGCAAAGGAACCTAAACTCCCCTCAGGGCATTAGAGTTTTTTCTTAGGAGTATCTGGGAAAACGAAACGAGCCAAGACTCAAACAAGAATATATAGAAACCAGGCAGTACCACACTGATGGCCCCACATCACCTGTAAAACCACAAAGGGGGCAAAACATCTGACCACCATTCAGCAGCCACACAAACGAGTGCTCAGGGACTACGTAGAAGGTTTTATACCCACGACTCACCCCCTCCTTAGCACGGGCCTTCTTTGATCCACACAACCTTCCCCTTTAACTCCAACAGCACATATTCCTGTCACCTTCCCACCTCTGTCCTCTCGTTGACCAGGGAGTACCGGGGAAGCGCAGGGTTTCAGGGTGTGACGTAGCTTGGCAGGGAGCTCATTTCCAGGCACGGTACTTCCAAAAGGGTGAGAGTTAGTTGAGGATTCCACAGGAAAGACCACACATTTTGTATTTTTGTTGCCGCAGTTGTTCTTACACCATCGTTTTCTGTTCTCTCAGGCCAATGACTGTGAGTGTGGGAAGGAATGGAAGGGATTTATTCTCACCGTAACGAAGGTATGGAAGAGTTTATCTCACTTTGTGTCAAAAGTGTCTGTAAGAGGCCTTGGTCTTCAGGCATGTCGAAGTTGGCTTCCACAGGCACAAAGCCTCACTTCCAAGGTGTTTGCACACACTAAACTGCTCAGGAAAAAAAAACAACCAACAAAACCCCTCAGGTGAGCAACATTCAGGCTGATGTAACCCCAGCCCATCTGCAGTACACACTCTGCTGTGTAGTCAGACAAGGGGTAACGGGTTTAAATTGAAAGCAGGTAGATTTAGGTTGGATGTAAGGAAGAAATTCTTCCTGGAGAGGGTGGGGAGGCACTGGGACAGGTTGCCCAGAGAAGCTGTGGATGCCCCATCCCTGGATGTCTTCAAGGCCAGGCTGGATGAGGCTTGGAGCAACCTGGTCTAGTGGAAGGGGTCCCTGCCCATGGCAGGGGGGTTGGAACTAGATGATCTTTAAGGTCCCTTCCAACCCAAACCATTCTGAGATTCTACGATAGTTGGCAGTCCATTTTTTACTGTTCAGGAAGGAAGAGACTTGTAGCACAAGTCCAACACCTGCAGCGGTGAAAAGGGGAGCCTGCTCTGAGGGACAGCTGGCTAGGGTGTTCTCAGGAGATAAACGCCATTGAAGAAGTGGCCAACCTGCGAGAACCCCTCAGCTCCATCTTTTATTCCACCATTCTTAGCTAAATGCACTTTGAAAATACAAAGAGTCTCTTTGGTAATGACCAGTGGAAAGAAATTGTTTGTTCACTCATGACTTTACCCTGGCCTAGCTGAATTACTGAAAAAGCTGAGGATAGCTGAAATAGGTTAAATCTCCTTTACGCTGCCTTTTGCAGTATAGCAACTGCCAAACACTGTGGATTCTTACATCATCCCCGCTTCCGTCCATGCACATTTCCTCTGAGTCAGGACACAGGTATCCTTCCTTCCCTGTTCTAACACACACACGTGCAGCATTTTATTCGAAGCAGAGGCACACCCAAACCTTCCAGGCTATCGCAGCTGCTCAAACCACGGCGGTAAGAAAGATTTCCGCGCGGCAGCTGTGCTCGGAGATCAGCTGTGACGCGCACACAGAAACGATTGCTCACTGTGATCATCCACTGTTCAGTTTTCTTTTCCATTCTGCTGTCCATTTTCAGCTGGCAGTTCCACCAGACGAGTCGTTCCTACCTCGGCAACTTAGGGGAATGCAGGAAGTACTAGAGAAGGAGAAGGAAAGGAGGATTACGCTCAGCAGCTGCTCGGGCACACCCTCGAACAGAAAAAACCCTCCCGGCAGCGCACTGACCACTATGCCAGCGTAAGCTCTGACTGAACCGTAAGAACCCCACCCTAAGAACCCCCACTTCTTCTTTCAAGCTATTATTTCCACGCAGGTGTTCAAAATTCAGCTGTTGGACGAGGGTTGTGGAATATCCAATGAGCAAAATCTACCTTTAAAGGCCTTTATAGAGATTTCCTAAGGGAAAGATGACTCCCACGGGTTGCCTACAATGCCTTTTGTTTCGAAAAGGCCAAATGCAGCCTATTCCTACGCTTAAAAAACATTTCAGAAAGCCACACGTTGGGCTGCTGTATCTGCCCCTCTGAGAAAACGCTGATGACCACTGAGAAATTCAAGATACATCCGGGTTACTCTTCTCACCTTCTTCCCAAGGGTCCAGAAAGTGTCGTACCTCTAAGAAAGCTTCACTTTCTCTCTGAGAGGCCAAAGCGCTGCTGTTCTAAATTATGTCCTACAGTAGCACTGCTCAGCAAGAGCCCTTCCGATGCCGTGCCTCTTGGCAGGCATGGATCGTTACCCTGGATAAGCCTGGCGTCGCGTAAGCCCCATGTCCCCTCCCGCAGCTCAGAACGACGTGGGCGTACCAGCGCGGCTGCCGCTCACGCCGTTTCTCTCCTCCCGTACGCTGCAGGTGCTTCTACGCAGTATCTCGGCAGGAAGCCATAGAGATGTTGAAAAAGAACCCTTCGTGCGGGAATTTGATCCTGCGTCCCGGCAGCGACAGCAAGAACTACACAGTCAGTATCCGACATGAGCTGTAGTAAGTCGATTCCACAATGCGTCATCCCGTTCCTAACTAGCGCGCGCTGTATGAACAGCTGAATTCTTACTGCCCGGATCTGACACGTGAAATGTACGCGTTGCCCTAGAGAAAGGTAAACGAGGCAGCAGGGGCAGGCCTGAGACAGATTTCTTGGTTCTCTCCTCCTCCAAAGCCAGTAAGGTTAAACAAAGAAGCAACAAAGATCAGCCAGGATTACCCAAGGAAACGGGCTTTCCCTGTTTGCTGTAAATCATAGAATCCCAGAATGGTTTGGGTTGGAAGGGACCTTAAAGATCATCCAGTTCCAACCCCCTGCCATGGGCAGGGACACCTTGCACTAGACCAGGTTGCTCCAAGCCTCATCCAGCCTGGCCTTGGACACTTCCAGGGATGGGGCATCCACAGCTTCTCTGGGCAACCTGTCCCAGTGCCTCCCCACCCTCTCCAGGAAGAACTTCTTCCTGATATCTAATTTAAACCTCCCCACTTTCAATTTAAACCCGTTACCCCTTGTCCTGTCACTACAGGCCCTTGTAAAAAGTCCCCCCCAGCTTCCTTGTTGCCCCCCCAGTTTAAGCAATCGTCCCGCAGAATGAAAACGGAACAAGCCGTACGCCCCTTTGTAAAATGCACAATGAAAAATTGAGAGAGACAAGTATTTTCAAACAGTAACTTAGTCAAAAACCACGTCACATTTAGCTTTTGCACAGCTTCAGAACCAGAGGCATCTGAAATGCCAGGAATGACATCTGGAATTCTCAGTGCCTCCAAACTAAACCAGGAAAAATCAAACCCTACGACACACCTCCAGTAAGCCAGTAAGCTCTGGCGGTGTCACAAAGTACACCAAGTGCTCCTGCGACGGAGTTTATAATGGCAATGACATGTCAGAAATTATGTCATTTCAGGCCTCATAAAACTTTCATTTTCTTCCAGCGCCCCACACTTAAAGCACTACAGAGTGATGTCCGAGGGAACCCGTTACATTATCGAACTGGAAACACGGGTAAGCGAGCAATTCCCTTCTGGAGGTTCTTAAGCAGGTGTAAGAACTACCTCTTGGCAGAAAATTAGAATAGTAAATTCCTAACTGCAATATGTGAGTCGGAGTAAAGCACGCGGAGAGTTCGCCCCTCTTGTTAGTCCAAATCGCCTCATCTCAAAGAACAAGTCATCTTTTAAGAACGAAAAAAGTGGGGAAAAGCGCCTCACACCAGCGTCACCTAACAAAGATAAAAATCAAACCTCTCACAGGGCAGCCCAGATCGCTTCATGGTTTTCTCCAACTCAGACTTTGGTACCGAGTCTGAAAGCTGAGCTCTTGTGGCAGCTAGAGGAAGTTCAAACTGCACCCTGAGAAATACAATCATAGAATCACTGGGTTG